TATTTAAATACTGCATCTATTTCCTCTGTGTCACAAGCAACACATTCTGCAAAGTGAAACCTAATTTTGTGTCAGTGTATGATGCAATCATACGATGCAAAAATGGTCTACTGTCCTATATAACCTGCTTCAGGGCCAATCACACCAACTGAAGATAAAAACCCCTCTCTCACTGTGGCACCACATTATTGGAATGGAGGCAAATTAGACAAAGCACCAAGGTACAAGATGGTCCTCCCAGGCCAAAGTCTCAGTGAGCTCCCCCAGCCAAAAACTTGAGCAATGATGTATACCAGAAGCTCTGCCCAGTTTTCCTTCTCTTCCTCCCAATCAGAAGAGACAAAAGGCAAACATCTTTTATTCTTCTGTCCCAGGATCTTCACTTCCTACCAGACAGGCTGGTTTATTCATTCATACATCACAAGTAATTTTCAAAGCAATGTGACAGATATTCTGGGAAATACAAACAAGGTCCTACTTACTAAGAAGCTTGAAATCTAGTAAAGAAAAAAAATACACACAACCAACAAGAGCATGTGATAAATTCCATAAAAGTAGTACCAATAAAGAACTATAGCTACTCACTCAACATTTATGGAGCACCATATATACACTACTGTATTAGGCACTGTTATAAGTACAAAAGGATATGTCCAAGCTTTGAGGAGCTATCAGATCCATGGACGAGACAGACACAAACTAATAAATGCAATTTGTTGTGATAAATGCTACTTTAAAAAAGTAAATATTGTTGTCAGTTTCTTATACAATTAAACATATCCCTAGGTACATCACAACTAAGCATTCCACTACTAGATATTTGTTTAAGAGAAATGAAAACATGTCTATAGAGACTCGTACAAGAATGTTTACAGCATGGCACAAGAACAGACACTCAGATCAATGGAACAGAATAACCCAGAAATGGACCCACAACGTATGGCCAACCAATCTTTGACAAAGCAGGAAAGAATATCCGATTGAATAGACAGTATCTTCACCAAGTGGTGCTGGGAAAACTGGACAGTGACGTGCAGAAGAATGAACCTGGACCACTTTCTTACACAATACACAAAAATAAACTCAAAATGGATGAAAGACCTAAATGTAAGACAGGAAGCCATCAAAATCCTTGAGGAGAAAGCAGGCAAAAATCTCTTTCATCTTGGCCGCAGAAACTTCTTATTCAACATGTCTCTGGAGGTAAGGGAAACAAAAAGCAAAAATGAACTACTGGGACCTCATCAAAATAAAAAGGTCCTGCACAGCGAAGGAAACAATCAGCAAAACTAAAAGGCAACCGACAGAATGGGAGAAGACATTTGCAAATGACGTATCAGATAAAGGGTTAGTCTCCAAAATCTATAAAGAAGTTATCAAACTCAACA